CGTCAACACCATGGCTGCGAATCTCACGGGCCAGGTGCGCGCCATCGCACAAGTGACGACAGCGGTGGCGAGCGGCGACTTGTCGAAGAAGATCTCGGTCGACGTGAAGGGCGAGATTCTCGAGCTGAAGAACACGATCAACACCATGGTGGATCAGCTCAACACGTTCGCGTCGGAGGTCATGCGAGTCGCGCTCGAGGTCGGCACGGAGGGCAAGCTCGGCGGCCAGGCCATGGTGCGAGGAGTCGCCGGCACGTGGAAGGACCTCACAGACAACGTGAACACCATGGCGGCCAACCTCACGGGCCAAGTGCGCGCCATCGCCGAGGTGACGACGGCTGTCGCACGCGGCGATCTGTCGAAGAAGATGACCACGGACGTGAAGGGCGAGATCCTCGAGCTGAAGAACACGATCAACACCATGGTGGACCAGTTGAACTCGTTCGCGTCGGAGGTGACCCGAGTGGCCGGCGAGGTCGGCACGGAGGGCAAGCTCGGCGGCCAGGCGCAGGTCAAGGGCGTCTCAGGCATCTGGAAGGACCTGACGTACAACGTGAACACCATGGCGGCCAACCTCACGGGTCAAGTGCGCGCCATTGCGCAAGTGACGACGGCCGTGGCGAAGGGCGATCTGTCGAAGAAGATGACCGCTGACGCCAAGGGCGAGATTCTCGAGTTGAAGAACACGATCAACACCATGGTGGATCAGCTCAACACGTTCGCGTCGGAGGTGACTCGAGTCGCTCGCGAGGTCGGCACAGAGGGCAAGCTCGGCGGTCAGGCTCAAGTGCGCGGCGTGGCGGGCACGTGGAAGGACCTCACGGACAACGTGAACACCATGGCGGCCAACCTCACGGGCCAGGTGCGAGCGATCGCCGAGGTGACGACAGCCGTGGCGCGCGGCGATCTGTCGAAGAAGATCACGACGGACGTGAAGGGCGAGATCCTCGAGCTGAAGAACACGATCAACACCATGGTGGACCAGCTCAACTCATTCGCTTCCGAGGTGACCCGAGTGGCGCGCGAGGTCGGCACGGAGGGCAAGCTCGGCGGCCAGGCTCACGTCAAGGGCGTGTCGGGCATCTGGGAGGACCTCACCAACAACGTCAACACCATGGCTGCGAATCTCACGGGTCAAGTGCGTGCCATCGCGCAAGTGACGACAGCGGTGGCGAGCGGCGATCTGTCGAAGAAGATCTCGGTCGACGTGAAGGGCGAGATCCTCGAGCTGAAGAACACGATCAACACCATGGTGGACCAGCTCAACACATTCGCGTCGGAAGTCATGCGAGTCGCACTCGAGGTCGGCACAGAGGGCAAGCTCGGCGGCCAGGCCATGGTGCGAGGAGTCGCCGGCACATGGAAGGACCTCACAGACAACGTCAACACCATGGCGGCCAATCTCACGGGCCAAGTGCGCGCCATCGCCGAGGTGACGACGGCTGTCGCACGCGGCGATCTGTCGAAGAAGATGACGACGGACGTGAAGGGCGAGATCCTCGAGCTGAAGAACACGATCAACACCATGGTGGACCAGCTCAACTCGTTCGCGTCGGAGGTGACCCGAGTGGCCGGCGAGGTCGGCACGGAGGGCAAGCTCGGCGGCCAGGCGCAGGTCAAGGGCGTCTCAGGCATCTGGAAGGACCTTACGTACAACGTGAACACCATGGCGGCCAACCTCACGGGTCAAGTGCGAGCCATCGCGCAAGTGACGACGGCCGTGGCGAAGGGCGATCTGTCGAAGAAGATGACGGCCGACGCCAAGGGCGAGATCCTCGAGCTCAAGTCGACAATCAACACCATGGTGGACCAGCTCAACACATTCGCGTCGGAGGTGACTCGAGTCGCTCGCGAGGTCGGCACAGAGGGCAAGCTCGGCGGTCAGGCTCAAGTGCGCGGCGTCGCCGGCACGTGGAAGGATCTCACAGACAACGTGAACACCATGGCGGCCAACCTCACGGGCCAAGTGCGAGCGGTCGCCGAGGTGACGACGGCCGT